TTCTTTTAGTACTTGAAATATGTCATTCCAGGCTCTCCTTAACCTAAGGGTTTGTATTGAAAAGTCTGCTGTGATTCTGATAGGCTTTCCTTTGCATGTAATTTGTTTCTTGTCTCTTACTGCTTGTAGTATTTTGTTCTTCTGATGGGTTTCTGGGATCTTGATTATTATATGTCTAGGTGTAGATTTTTTTTTATCATGGCTAGTTGGAGTCCTATATGCCTCACTTATCTGTATATCATATTCTTCCCCTCTGTTTGGCAAGTTTTCTATAATTAATTCTGTGAACAGCTTTTTTAAGTCATTTACATTTTCTCCTACTACTTCTTGAATTCCTATCAGTCTTATGTTATTCTTCTTAGTATCGGCTAAGAATTGTATCAATTTCTCATGATCCCCTACTGTTTTTAAGAGACCTCTCTTTTCACGGTCACTGACTACAATTTTACCTTCTATATCTGAGTTTCTATCTTCGGACTCTTTTATTCTTTTGTGAACACTCTCAATGGAGTTTTTAATCTCCTGGATATCTGTTTGAATCTGTCCTATGGATTCCATTTCTTTCTTGTATTGGACATTTGTTATTTCCAATTCTTTCTTATGCTGGGCATTTGTGGCTTCTAGCATGGTCCTGAGCTCATCTATTTTCCTCTCAGTTTCTGTTCTAGAGTCACAAATTATAATTTTCATTTTGCTTGTCATCTCTATGATTATCTGGAAAATTACTTCTGTTTTATATTTCTCTAGAGCCTGATTGATCAGTTTTGTTACTCTCTGTGCTTTGAGTTCAGGGTGTCCTGATGATTCACTATCAGACTTTTCCTCCTCACTTGCCCCACTATTTGCCATTGGTGAACTGGAAGTGTGTCCCTGTATCTTGCTTAAGCATTTTCTCATTTTTACTATTGTTGTTGGGTTATCCTTAGTTTAACCTTTAGATTATTACTTAAATCTTCCTGATATAGTTGGGCTGCAGCCCATGGGTCTCTAATGATTCATAGACAGTCTCATTTTTATAATACTGAAGAAAACAGCTCATTGATCAATCACAATCCTTTGTGATACAATCAGCACCACAATATAATGTAGCACAATTTGCAAATTGACCACTTATGGTAGTCATCAATCTATCACTTTCAAACCATGTAAATTTAATTAAGATCAAGAAGCAATCCAAAATATGCTTACAGTAAATAAACTTTTCAATAAGGATGTTTACCATTTGCAATGGGGGTTTAAAACAAAGTTAAGACAAGAGGAGTAGATAAGTGTAAGAATTAGAGAAGGTTTCATATGAAGCCAAAAGACGTAGGATGACCAGACAGTCGTCAGGAAATTGTTAAGTTCAAAAAGAACAAACAAAATAGAAATATAGTAACCCTTGAGTGAGGTAGAATAACATAAGAAAAGAACATAAAGAAAAGAGAAAAAAATAATAAAAGAAGAAATCTGAGTTAGGACAAGAGCAGAAACAAAAAGAGAGATGAGGGATACTATAGTGGAGTAAGAGACTGAGTTAGAGAAAGAAAACAAAAAGAAAAAAAAAGAATTTGCAGAGTAGGATGAAAAAAAGAAACAAAAATGAGTTTGAAGGGCCTCTTTCAGACTATATCATTGCTGTCATAATATACAATATGTGCTGCCATTTGCAGAGCCGAGTCCTCTGACCTCAGCTAGCTGGTGACAGAACCCCACAAAGCAGACTGAGCTCGGGCTGCAAGACCCAGAATGAGTTCCCCAACCTCATAAAGGGCTGAACTCCACTCAGTTCTACTATACATTTCCCCCACCACTTCTTTAAAGATGTTCAAAGTTGAAAGTGCCAGAAAATACTCTTTATGACCACCTCTGCCTCTACAGAGTAGGTCCAAAGACTGGTACAATCCGGAGGTTTAAAAGGATGAGGGGGAAGGTTGGGGAAGGTGCAGGGGTGCCCGTGTGGCTACCTTTCTGGCACTAAAGATGGCGTCAGCGGTGCCAGCACAGGAGAGCCGGGCCGAGAAGACCCTCTGGGGCTAAAGATGTTGGAAAGCAGCCTGCAGGAGAGGGTGTGGCCGAGAAGACCCTCTGGTGCTGAGGATGGTGGGCTAACACCCTTCTTTTTATGCGTGGTACTGAGGATTGAATTTAGGGCTTTTTTTTTTGTTTTATTTTTTTGAGACAGGTCTCACTATGTAGAGACTGACCTGGAACTCACTATGTAGCCCAGGCTGGTCTCAAAGTCACAGTGATCCTCCTGCCTCAACCTCCCGAGTGCTGGGATTACAGGTGTGTGCCACCACACCCGGCAAATTTAGGGCCTTTGTGCTGAGCTACAGTGAGCTACAACCCCAGCCCTTTACATTTTTATTTTGAGACTGGGTATCACTAAGTCATTAACTTGCCCAGACTGAGCTTGATCTTCCTGCCTCAGAGTGTTGGTATTATAGGCGTATGCCACCACAGTATAATACTTTTAATTGTTTTTGTTCCTGTTTTTTTTTTTAGTTTTTGAGACAGGGTCTCACTATGTAGTTAAGACTTACCTGGAACTATGTAGCCCAGGCTGGGCTCGAGCTCACAGAGATCCTCCTGCCTCAGCCTCCAAAGTGCTGGGATCACAGGCATGTGCCACTATGCCCGGCCTGGCTTTGAACTCACTATGAAACCCAGGCAGGCCTTGAACTCAACAATACTCCTCCCTCAGCCACTTAAGTACTGGAATTATAGGTGTGTACCACCACACTTGGTTTAATGTACTTCCAATTGGAAATTTGAAATAGAGCTAGAAAATGTATTTGAGCAGTACTTTACACTTGATTTTAAAGGCCGAGAAGAGATGAGCAATATTTTAAATACAGTTTTCTGGCTGGGAATATAGCTCCGTGGCACAGTGCCTGCCTGGCAAGCACCAGGCTCTGAGTTTGATTCCCAGTACCAAAATATATGAAAATATATGGGATATATGTATATGAATACCAATATATATGGGAATTTCCCAGAATGGATTAATCCAATCCTTAAATTCCAGAAACTTCTTAAGTCTCAGGAAGACTAAAAATTTTCAGGCATGGTGGTGCATGCCTGTGATCCCAGCACTTGGTAGGCTGAAGCAAGAAAATTGCTGGGAGTTCAAGGCCAGCCTGAACTATGTAGTGAGGTGCTCCTTGTGAACTACATAATGAGTCCCTGTCTCAACAAACAAACAAACAAAAATAAAAGAGCAAACATTTAAAAATCTTTACTTTGTTACATCACGAACATGAAAGTGCTCAGTGGCTATCAGTCACATGCCATTATTTAGCTGCAAGGAAGGAAAAGAAATATAGTCTGTGAAAACTTGTAAGGTGGAGTGTTAATGACAGCCTGGATTCTGCACTGTCTTCCCATGCAGAGGAGAAGGTAGTGAGACACAGAGGTTCCTCCCATGTCCTGAAGACTCTGCTTTTTCTTGGGAGCTTCCAAGGTGGCTCCACCCTGCCTGCTTCATGTCTGGCTGCCTCCTTGGGCACTGCAGCAGAGGGTTGGGTAAATTACCCAGTGGAAAGGGGCTGGAGAGTATCGATGTTATACATTCTAAATGGCTGTTTGAAAAAAGGTCATTAAAAAGTGAGAGTTAGAGTAAGAAAGTGAGACTTCTGTTTCTGGAAAAAGATGAAATAAATGTCCTTTTTCCTATTTCTCCAGCTAAGTACAACTAAAAGCCCTGAGCATTATATGTAAACAAACATGCAGATTCTCAAAGGCAGAGAGAAGGCCAATCTAGCTAAGAACTGGGGCTCCTTGGAGCCAGAGTAGTATCACTTGCCTGTGATCTCAGCACACTGGGAGGAGGACCCAGGACAACTGCAAATTTGAGCCCAGGCTGGGCAATTTAGTGACTTAGTGAAACCCTGTCTCAAAACAAAACAAAACAAAATAAAAAAATAAAACACGGGCTGGGAATACAGCTCATTCCCAGTAACCCCCCCCTGCCACACTCACATACATACATGCACACACAATTTTGAGACCTAAAAGATTATGCTATTATTGCTGGGCGTGGTGGTGCACACCTGTAATCCCAGCATTCTGGAGGCTGAGGCAGGAGGTTTGCTGTGAGTTCAAAACCAGGCTGGGCTACATAGTGAGTTCCACGTCAGTCTCAACTACATAGTGAGACCCTGTTTTAAAAAAAAAAAAAAAAAAAGATTATGCTATTATTAATTTTTTGTTTTGATTCACTTAATAGATCTTCAACTGGACAATGGAGAAGCCAGGCCCCTGGAAACGTCAATGGACCACAAACACGTATGGCCCCACTCCAGACCATTGCCATCAAAGTTGAATGAAAAGTTCAGACCTCCGCTTTCGCCAGACTGGAGGAGGCCATCCTTCTCTGGCCTCCACACCTGGGAAAAATCACAGAAGGCAGAATGGAGAGCCACAATTCTTACCCCTGTTGGTGGTAATGAGAATCTCTTCCTAAATGCGGGCAGCAGAGATGAAGCTGGAGCCTGAAACTGCAGCTCCACCTGGTGGTAGAACCGCATTCGTCCTCCTCCTTGCTGGGATAGTTTGGGTTGAGACCTAAAGTGAAGCCTTTGATAACCTTTTTCACTCCCTCCATGGGCCAGTGTGGATCCTCACAGAGACCCTCTGTCCCAGCTGTACTAAGAGACTCCCTCATCCTCCAGTGTCCACAGAGAAACCGGACTTCCACCCCACCCAGCAGTAATAAAGCGGTAACTCCTCCCTCCACTGGATTCATGTCAGAGGAAGCTGCTACGTCACAAGAGTCCAGCAAGGCCCTGGGTCTTATACAAAACATGCATGTTTCGATTGAGACTCATTTTTCATAGCAAGACCCGGGTCGGTCTCCAACTAAGAGGAGTACAGAACAAATGCCAACGCCAAGACAGATGCTGTCAAATTATCTGACAAGAATTTTAAAGCAGTCATCATAAAAATTCCTCAGCAAGAAATTACGAACACTCTTGAGACACATAACAAAACAAAACAAGGCTGAAATCTCAAGGAATAGGAAGTCTTGAAAATAAGTAAATATTGAACCCAGAGCCTGAACACTGAGCTACCTTTAAAATTTTGTGGGACAGTCTCATTAAATGCAAATTTTAGAACTAAAAGATAACAATAATCCAAATTGAAATGCTTGATGAATAGGCTCATAGATAAACAAAAGGAAAAATGAAAAGGATCAGTGAGTTTGAGAACATAGCAATAGAAACTATCTGATGTCAACATCAGGGAGAAAATGACCTAGAAAAATAAGTTGAACAGAGTCGGGCACAGTAGTAAATGCCTGTAAATCCGGATACTCAAGAGGCAGAGGCAGGAGGGTCACCAGTTCAAGGCCAGTCTGGGCAATTAGCGAGACCCTTTCCTAAAAACTATATTAATAGAGTGATGGAGACTGGTGGAACCATTTTTAAAAATCATGTTTGTATCATTAGAGTCCAGGTGCAGAGAAGATGGGCCAAATGCATTGAAGGAAATAATGACTAAATTTTCTAAAACTGGACCAAATATGATACATACACAGATGGAAAAAGTAGAACAAACCTTTCTGGAGTAAACCCAAAGAAATTCACATTAAGTCAAATCATAGTCAAACTTCTGAAAAAGACAAAATCTTAAAAGCATCTAGTTAAAAAAATGACAGTTTACCTATATGGAAAAACAATCCCAAACACAGTGTTTTTCTGAAACTGTGAAGGCCAGCAGGAGGTGACAAAACATTTTTCAAGCACTGAAAAGAACACTTTCCATCAAGTAAAATGCTTGCATGAATGGAGGTAAATAATTATGTACTAGGAACTTAAAGGCTGCTTTTGCTGAAAGCTCTTACTCTCCATTCAGGCCTGCAGATATCTGATGAACAACTATAAGCAGGATAAAAGCTTGGCATCTACGTCTTCCTGCTCTTTCTGTCCCTTTTGCTACCTTGAACTTTGGGTCAGATTCCTGCCCAACTCTGCACATAGACATGATAGTCATTTAAAAAGCAATCTCCTAAAACTGCTAACAGAAGGTTGATGAGCCCTACATTTGACCAATCTGTCCACTCCCTTCAAGGCTGAAGGCATCAAGATAAGAAGAGTAAGATATTTTTAAGATTTATGGGAACATCACAACCAATAGATTATCAACCACCAGCTTTTACCTTTGTTTTGTTTTGTTTAGAGGTACTGGGGATTGAACTCAGGGCCTTTGCCCTGAGCTACACCCCTATCCCTTTGTATTTTTAATTTTGAGACAAGGTCTCAAATCACTTAAGTTGCCTAGGGAGGGCTTGAATTTACAATCTTCCTACCTCAGCCTCCCAGAGGGTTGGGATTATAGGCATACACCACCATGTCCAGAAACCATTGGCTTTTGTAATGTCTAATCTCAGACCATCAAATGGTGCCTAAAGGTCTCCAGTCATTGCCTTAAACATGAAGGAGGACTCAGTCACTCACCCAACTAACTCTATTTTTCTCTGGCCTGTTTTCTCTGAGTCATTTTTCCTTCTGCCTTCTCTCAAACTTCAGGAACAGAGAAACTTGCAAGCAGTTATCTTCCTCGGTGACAGTGTGACCTTGCGGGACTGGACGTACCCCAGTGTGACCAAGAGTGACCGGCTGCATACTTTTGCCTCCTACTGTAGTTCTGTTGTATAATCCTGAAGCTGCTGTCCATTCCTCAGATGCAGTTTTCTCACGAGGTCAGTAGACCTGCTGTCTTTCCAGATGATTGCACCAAAAATGAATCCCTTCTTTGTTTCACCGCCATTCTTTTCTCTCATTGGATCCTGAAGGCAGCAGGTGGCCAAATCTGGTCTGTTGGGACCTCAAGAGCCAGGGCTGGGTGGTCCAGGCAGTCAGCAACAACCTCAGTAAACCAAGAGAATTTGTTGGCAGCAAATCCAACTCAGAAGAATATCTAACGTGAGTTTTCCAAATGGAAAGGAAGGATAAAAGAAGGAATTTTGGAACATCAGGAAGACAGAATACATAAAGATAAAGAAATAGTAATGACAGTTTTTTGGTTTTTTTTGTATTGGGGATTGAGCTCAGGGTATCTACATTGAGCTTATTTTGTAGGATTTCAATCCTTTTAAATTTATTATTTTGTGAACTCAAGGTATTTTATCTTATTTTATTTTATGGCACTGGGGATTGAACCCAGGGCCTGCATACTGAGCTACCTTTAAATTTTGGGGGAGGGGCAGTCTCATTAAATTGCCAGTGCAGGGCTCAGACTTGTGATCTTCCTGCTCCAGTGCTAGAATTATGGGCCTGAACCACTACCCCAACCAGCTTTCTATTCATTTTTTTTTTATTTTTTTTTTTTTTTTTTTTTTTTGGTACCAGGGATCGATCTCTAGTCCTTGTGCTTGCAAGGCAGGCGGCGGAACTTCTGAGTTAAATCCCTGGTCTGAGTTTTCTAAATTGTTGAGGGTTGAAGCAATAATTTTAATAATCTTCACTATGCTCTCCATTAATATGGAAAAAATACATAAGACAATTATGGATAGTCTTGAAACTATAGGTTTTTGGCATTGCAATGGCTTGAAAGTGATATGAATTCTAGAGAAACCAGGCTGGAGCTTTGAATTTTGATCTTCCTGGGGACTTGTGATGTACACTACAGTTCTTTCTTGAGAGGCTAGGCAGCTTTCAGTGGCCACTGAATCACAGGGGGCTCTGAGAGTCTACAGCACTCTGTATAGCTCAGCTATGATATTTGATAGGTTAGGTGCATTATAAGCCTTTTCTTGGTTTGTGTTTTCTTTGTTTTTTTTTTTTTTTTTTT